CTTTTATCAAACATGGATCCCCTTATCAAACATGGATCCCCTTATCACACATGGATCCTCTTATCAAACATGGATCCTCTTATCACACACGGATCCTCTTATCAAACATGGATTCTTTTATCACACATGGATCCTCTTATCACACACGGATCCTCTTATCAAACACGGATCCTCTTATCAAACAGGGATCCTCATCTCAATCTCCTCTCTGGCTCCGAGGTCGCAGTAAAACCTCTCCCACACAAAACCACCACAAAACCCCAACCCAGCCGGGCCTGGGCCACTCCCAGGGATGGAAAATGAAAATGGAAATGTTCCTCCCGGTTTATCTTCGGAAGATTTTAATTGAGGATTGTCTCTCCCACCCCAGCTTCCAGGAACCAGCTCTTCCCAGAGGAGAAGTCGTCCCCGGGCCAAGGATCTCCTCGGCGCTCTCGGACTCCGTCCTCCGGTGACGTTTTGGACCCTTCTGCCAAAACCTGCCCCGGGGAGCTCCTGGAAATGCCGACCGCAGCCCCGGGCTCCGTGGTAAGGAGCAGCTCCTGGCACCTCAACCCAGGAGCTGCACTCCCACCTTTTCCAGTTCCGAGGGAAAAAATGTTCTCGGTCCCGTTCCGATTCCAACAACATCTCCCGGTTCTCCTGGGAATGGCTGGGGATGGAACCTGGGAATGGAAGCGTGGGATGGTTTGGGTTGGATCTTAAAGATCGTCCTGTGCCACCCCTGCCGTGGGCAGGGCCACCTCCGGAATTCCTGTTGTGCACATTCCCAACAAAAAGGTGAAGGAGCTGAGATGTGGGAAGTTTTGGAGCTGAGGGATTTGATGGAATAAATAATCCCAAGAAGGTGACAATTGAAGGGGAGGAGACTCAGCTCTTCAAGAGCACCTAAAAATCGTTCTGGGTTTATTTTGGTTATTTTTAAGTGACCTGAGAGAACACAAAAAGGGGGGATTTAAAGCTAACAACCACAGAAAGAGCTCAGGAAAAAATCAGGAGTGAAAAAAAAAAATCTCCTGGATCTCATGAAAAATGAAATGTTTTTAGCAGGAATAGCAGGAATTTGTTTTTAGGGATAGCAGGAATTTCTCCTCTCCATCCAGAGAAACTGGGGTAATTTCTGGAATGCTGAGCTGAGGAAAGCTCCAAAAATGAGACACATTTTAGAAAATTATTGGAATTCCTGGGAAAAAAATTCTCTGGGAAAAATCCCTCCCTGCTGAGGAGGGAGCAGCAGGAAGAGCTGGGGGAGCTGGAAGTTTTTGATGGAATAAAAAATCCCAAGAAGGAGACAATTGAAGGGGAGGAGACTCAGCCCTTCAAGAGCACCTAAAAATCGTTCTGGGTTTATTTTGGTTATTTTAAAGTGACCTGAGAGAGCACAAAAAGGGGGGATTTAAATCCAACAACCACAAAATCTTCCCGAGAGAGGAAGGAAAACTCCTCCAGCTGCAAAATTCCAGGGCTTGTTTACAGTTTTTCCCCAATGCCTACTACCTATATTATTTTCTATCTTTTATATGGTACATTACGTGTGACATGGTTACAGTTTATCCCAATGCCTATTGCCTATATTAAATGGTGATTTTCTATCTTTTATATGGTACATTACATGTTACATGTTCACAGTTTTCCCCAATGCCTGTTTCCTATATTAAATGGTGATTTTCCACTCTAAACCAATCTGTGAGTGCCAACATCACCAAGAACATGGAGGTGAGGAAGGAGAAAGAGGGAGGACAGGACAGGCCCAGATCCCAAATCCATCTTAAAACCTCTGACCCCCGTGTACAAAACCAAAACCCCCTGTACAGCACTCAAAAATTCTTCCCTCCACTCTGTGACTACTTCTACTCTAAAATCTAAATTTTGTGATTTCTTGTTCCTCCTGCAAGGTTGGTAACTCATCCCATGGCTCAAACCCAAAATCCCAGCTGTTTCCAGCTGCTGCCAGGGTCTCAAATGCTTCTGACCTGGGCCCGGAACAGCCAAAAATGTCTGAGGGACATTTGGAGTTCCGACAGGAGAGGACCTTGGACTCCTCCAGTTCCACCCTCTGGACTCTTCCCACTGTCCCAGGCTGCTCCAAGCCCTGGCCTTGGGCACTTCCAGGGATCCAGGAATTCCCTGGGAATTCCACCCCAGGGCCTCCCCACCCTCCCAGGGAATATTCCCAATATTCCAATATTCCCAAAGGCCAATCCCCTTGTCCTGTCACCCCGTTCCCTTGGTGTCAGCGTTCGGGAACACAAATTATCCCGGGATGTGATTCCATGCAGGTGCTTTTATTGGGAGCTCTGCAATCAGGGCTCCAGACCCAAATCTGACTCCAACACGGCTTTTGAGCTGAACCTATTTTATATTCTATCCTTATATAACTCACATATTCATTATTAAACTTATATTGTTCTATTGTATACATTGACACGAGTTTCTCGGGATCTTTCTTAGGCCCCTGACCACAGTTCCTCATGATTATTCTTACCATTAAACTGTAATTATATTTAATTACTAAACAATCATCACATCCAACAGTTATATAATTTATCATGTACAGATGAAGTCCTAGCAAGGCACAAAGTCCTTGTGTAATTGTGGTATTTATTTTTCTTTTCAGGGCCTACTAAGCTTAATTTTCCTTTTTACCCTAAATCCCCATGATTTGAAACCCAAATCCCCATGATTAAAAACCCAAATCCCCATGATTTGAAAACCTAAATCCCCATTATTTTAAAACTGAAACCCCCATGATTTTAAAACCCAAATCCCCATGATTTTAAACCCTAAATCCCCATTATTCTAAACCCAAAATCCCCATGATTTTAAACCCTAAATCCCCACGATTTTAAACCTAAATCCCCACGATTTTAAACCCTAAATCCCCACGATTTTAAACCCTAAATCCCCACGATTTGAAACCCTAAATCCCCATGATATTAAACCCTAAATCCCCACAATTTTAGAAACCTAAATCCCCATAATTTTAGAACCCTAAATCCCCATGATTTTAAAACTGAAACCCCCATGATTTTAAACCCCAAATCCCCATGATTTTAAAACCCAAATCCCCATGATTTTAAACCTAAATCCCCACGATTTTAAACCCTAAATCCCCATGATTTTAAACCCTAAATCCCCATGATTTTAAACCCAAATCCCCATGATTTGAAAACCCAAATCCCCACGATTTGAAACCCTAAATCCCCACGATTTAAAACCCTAAATCCCCATGATATTAAACCCTAAATCCCCACAATTTTAGAACCCTAAATCCCCATGATTTGAAACCCTAAATCCCCGTGATTTAAAAACCCAAATCCCCATGATATTAAAACCCTAAATCCCCACGATTTTAAACCCTAAATCCCCACGATTTGAAAACCCAAATCCCCATGATTTTAAACCCTAAATCCCCACAATTTGAAACCTAAATCCCCATGATATTAAAACCTAAATCCCCATGATATTAAAACCCTAAATCCCCATGATTTGAAACCCTAAATCCCCATGATTTTAAACCCTAAATCCCCATGAATGATTTAAAAACCCAAATCCCCATTATTTTAAACCCTAAATCCCCACAATTTTAAAACCCTTTCACTCTCATTGGCATTGAGGCAGCTAAGCTCAGAGCAGAGCCCAAATCTTATTTTCTGCTCATTTTTACTCCAGAATAAATTCATGATTTCATCCGTTTGTGATGGGGGAAGGAGCAGAATTCCATGATGTGGGATTTTCCTGTTTTCTGGGAATTTCTGGATGCACTTGGATTTTTATCAACCCCATCCAAGCCAGGCCCTTCCCACTTCTATTCCAATCAGGCATCAAATTTAATCCCATTTTTCACCCATTTTTGCTTTTTTTAATCAACAAAACCACCTGGATTTCAAACAACCTCCGGACACTCCGGCTTGTTCCTTTTTCCTTTTCTTCCCCTTTTTCTCCCAAAATGTTCCCTCCACAGCTGCTGCTCCTTTTGCAGGAGAACAGCAGGAAAAAGAGGAAAAAATAAAAGAAATTTATAAAAGCAGCAGGGATGGCTTGGCAGGCAGCATGATTCCCCTCTCTCCATAGTTCTGATTTATTTCGAATTTATTTCAAATTTATTTCCAATTTATTTCAAATTTATTTCGAATTTTTTTCCAATTTATTTCGAATTTATTTCCAATTTATTTTGAATTTTTTTCCAATTTATTTCCAATTTATTTCCAATTTATTTCTAATTTATTTCCAATTTATTTCCAATTTATTTCGAATTCCTCCGGTGTTTAAAATCAGAGCTGGGGGTGGATTTCAAATCCACTTTTCCCAGGATTTCAAAGAAATTCCTGGCTGAGAAATGGGAGACACAAAGAGGGAAATTCCCACTTTTCCCTTTCCTGGGATGAAATTCCAATTTTAAAGGCAAATTCCCAGCTGGAGGAGTCTGCTCCTTCTCACCCAAAGCTTTGTTGGTTTAAGGTGAGGAAAATCCAAATTATTTCCTTGTGGCTCTCTGCCATCGCTCCTGGCCCAATAATCTGTATTTTATTCATTTTTATATTCCAATTTTACATTTTACCTGTAGTTTATAATTTATAGTTTACCTCAGGTTTAACTCGGGGCTCACAAAGCTCTTTTTTTTGTTATTGTTCTCATTTTCCAGAAATATCTTTGTATCTACTTTATA